TTATTTAAAGTGACTGTAGGGCTCTTTGGAGTGAGCAGCAAAACCACGGGGCCTGGGTAAAACTTAAAGTACTAGACAGAAGTAAAGTTGCATTTTGGTTGTATCTCACCAGTTGTTCTTGCTCAGTAGATTGACTACCACTGCTTGGTATGATGTTTGTGATGTGTCATGCTACTGTGTTTTTGCATTAATTTTGCTACACTAGCTTTCTTTTGCTTAGTATTTACCTAATATATATTCTTTCATCCTTTTATTTTGAACTTTTCTGGATAATTTTAAGGGCATCTTCAAGAAATAGCATGAAACTACATTCTGTGCCTTGAAAAAAATCCAATCTGAGATTTTCTTTTACTATGAGTTTAATCTATCTACATTTATTATTATTTTTACATTATTATTATTGATATAGTTATATTTCTGCCTTCCTATTTTGTGTTTTCTGTTTATCATGTTTTTTCTTTGCATTTCCCCCTTCCTCTCTTTTCCTGCCTTGTGTTGGACCAAGGGAGTTTTCTCTGCAAATTTGGAATTTACACATTCTATTTTTTTAAATTTGATAAGCACATTCTATTTTTTAGTGTGTATCCTAACATTTTTCTAAATTAACTATATTTTTAAGCAAAATATAGACTATCTCCAACTTCTATCCTCTTCCTTATACACTTTTATATTTTGAATTTTTTTTTCAAAAAAACATAGGCACAAATTCTGATAACTGGAATTTCTATACACAAACTGTTAACCATTATTATTGTTCATAGCTCATGATGCATATTTAAATATATTATTTCATTTGATTCTAGAAAAAGCTCAGCTAAGTGTTACCTTCATAATGAATTAACAAATTAAGAAAAAAAGAAGAAAGTCAAGAAAACAGCTCTCCAATTCCTTTTTTGTTTTGAAAGAGCAGGGGGAAGGGCAGAGAGGGAGAGAGTCTTAAGCAGACTCCATGCTAAGACCCTAAGACCATGACCTGAGCTAAAATCAAGAGTCAGATGCTTAGTGGACTGAACCACCTAGGCAGCCCATGAGCTCTTCAATTCTTTTATTTTTATTTTTATTTTATTTATGATAGTCAGAGAGAGAGAGAGGCAGAGACACAGGCAGAGGGAGAAGCAGGCTCCATGCACCGGGAGCCCGACGTGGGATTCGATCCTGGGTCTCCAGGATCGCGCCCTGGGCCAAAGGCAGGCACCAAACCGGTGCGCCACCCAGGGATCCCGAGCTCTTCAATTCTTAATGGTATCCTTTAAAGTCCCTTAAATATCTAGAGACCTCAGGTTAAGAACCACAGATCTTAGGAATATAGTCTTCACTCTTTTCTTTTGGGAAGGGAGAAAGGAAAGACAATTATTCTGTGCCAGAAATTTGACTTAGGCAAAACAAGCGTTCTATATAATGGCTACCTTCAATGCTTTCTAAGTGTTTTATGGGTGTCATGAGAGTTATTTCACAACATGCTTCTATACCAATCCACATACATTCTCCTGGATGGAAAATGGGCTTATTTATGTTGATAATAAGACTGATGAAAATAAGTAACAATTAGAACTATTATGGAACCACCATGTTAGCTAAGTGCTGAATCTCATGGGATAAATAAACTCTCAGATCCACCCTTCAGTTTTAGAAGGGAGGCCATTTAGTCATCAAGATGTCTAGATGAGGGGCACCTGGGTCACTTAGTAGTTGAGAGTCTGCCTTTGGCTCAGGTCGTGATCCTGGGGTCCTGGGATCGAGTCTTGCATCAGGCTGCCCATAGGGAGTTTGCTTCTCCCTCTGCCTATGCCTCTGCCTCTCTCATGAATAAATAAAATCTTAAAAAAAAAGATGGCTAGATGGAACTATATCACCTGTGTAGTTTCAAAATAGAAACACTAAATCAACAGATTCTGATAATAGTTTGCATACATTTATTATAATTGCCCTCTTTTATCAGTAAAATGAGATGGCCTGGTTTAGGTCCTAATCAAGTACTTTAGGCCTCTCCTGAATATGCCTAAGGTGTTGCCTTTAAAAAATAAAGCAGTTAATTAGAAATCAGCTAAGGTAAAAAGAAATCACATATGAACTTAACTGGAAATTACTGAATTTTCAGTCATTGGGATATTAACATATGTATTGTGATCTTAAGTTTTCCTCTCACCCCATTTCCTACAGAGATCCAGGAGAGGGAGATTTGTGGCAGAGCTGGAAGTAGAAGCTGCTTGAAGCTGGTGGCCTTTATGTCTTGAAAAGGATTATATTACTTTATAAAATCAAGCCAGATGTCCCTGAATGGGAATGGAGGGCATCTGAAGGCAACAAGAGGAGAGGTCAGGGTTTGTGGGTCCTTCCAGTAGTGGAGACATGAGTATTTTTCCATATCAGGATCCAAGGAAGACTATGGTGGGCTCAGGAAAGCTGGGCACCTAGTCTTCCCCTAATCCAGAGGGTTGGATAGAAGCAGGGGATCTGAAGAAATCATGCTAATTCAGTAAATAAACATCTGATCCCTCATCAGTACAAACAGACATCTGACAGTGGGAATCTAAAGCTTCTGGGAATCCAAAGCTTTGGTGCTACATCAGTTGTACGGATGTCTATACAACTAATGGAGATAGGGAATCCCTAATAACAACTGAAGCGGACATCTAATCAACATGCCACAGTTGAATGTCAGGATTTTATTTATGTATTTTATTTATGTTCATTTCAAGGCAATTCATTTTTTTAAAGATTTATTTGGGGACACCTGGGTGGCTCAGTGGTTGAGTGTCTGCCTTCAGCTCAGGGCATGATCCCTGGGTCCTGGGATCGAGTCCCACATTGGGCTCTTCACTGGGAGCCTGCTTCTCTCTCTGCCTAGGTCTGTGTGTCTCATGAATTGGTGAATAGTATCTTTAAAAGACTTGAGAGAATGTGAATGCATGCACATGCATGTGCACAGGGGAGGGTCAGAGGGTGAGAATCTTCAGACTTTTGAGTGCAGAGTATAATGTAGGGCTCGATCCCACAACCCATAAGATCATGACGGGTCAAAACCAAGAGTTGGACACTTAATCAACTGAGCCACCCAGGCACCCCTAAAGGCAATTTTAAAATGTGGTATTTCTAACATGTTCAGGTGTGTGAGCTAAGATCCATCTGTTTGCTATGCCTCCTATTCAAAGTTTCAGTAACAAAGGAAACAGTGTTTTGTGAGTGTTATAAACTATTACACAGCTGTCCTCTCAATGTTACAAGTCCTTAAGAAATCTTCTAGTTGGCTAGGCCCTAGGTCCCTCAGAGGATATAATAGTTCTAAGACTATGGCAAAATATGAACTATGGTTATTTCAGGTATGCGTGTGTTAGAAATCTTTTAGTTGTCCCCTCTGATCCATTTTTCCTCTGTGCTGTGTCCACCAAGCTTACCAATATAGATCACATCAAAGACTTTACTTCCTTTAGCTTCCATTTTGGTTAAAGGGTAATACCAAGAAGAGTGAATTCAGGTATTTTATATGCCATCCTGGATTCTTTGAGGTCTCTGCTAACTAAGTGCATCCTCCAGATCATACCTACTGTCAGGTGGCCCTTTCTATACAGCTACCAACCAGTAATCACTCCCTCCTCCCCTCCTACTCTACTCTTTGCTTATAGGCAACACCATATTGCAGGCTGAATTGTGTGACCTCTAAATTCATATTGTGAAATCTTAACCCCCCAGTACCTCAGAATGGGACTGTGTTTGGAGTTGGAATCTTTACAGGTAGTTAAGTTAAAATGGGGTCATTAGGCCTCCTTAGAAGAGATTGGGACAGACAGGTACACAGGTTAAGGACCATGTGAAGTCACAGGAAGGCAGCCATCTACAAGTCAAGGAGAGGCCTCAGAAGAAACCAACCCTACCAGCATCTTGATTTTGGACTTCTAGACTCTGTAACTATGAGAAAATAAATTTCTGTTGTTTAAGCCACCTAGTTTATGATACTTTGATGTGGCAGCCCTAGCAAACTAATACACACCATGACTTTACTCCTCTGTTGACAACTTGGGAAAAAATTCTCTATTAAACTTCTCAAATCGATTTTGAATAAAATTTATTTCCTGCTGGGACCCTGACTGATCTAGGAGGCTCATACAGGACTCATTTCCAGATTTTTTCTTACTGTATTTTCTAAAATCTCTCCAGTAACCATGATAATTTATGTTTTTGCTATAGAAGTAAAAAAAACTGTCATGAAACAAAACTTAGTTTGGTAAATTTCCTTATAGAATGGATTTATAATCATAGACATCCATCAACCCTCCTCCACAAATCCCCTACTCTAGATTCCCACTATTATGTCTAAGGGATTACAAAAACAGAACATGACCTCAATGTTGGAACTAGGGAAAGCGGCCATCCTTGGTCCAAAATCTGTTAAGTATTTCTGAAGGTGGCTGCCCATATTTTCTTTTGTGGGCAAGAGCAAAGCTCTGCGTTAAGTGTAAGGAACTATTATAGTATCCACTAAATATTCTGTTATGCCAGTCCAATTCACAGGGGCAAGGAGTTCTTAATAAGCAGCACTAGAAAGCAGTCACTCTGAGAAGCCACAATGAGGGAAGAGGAGGGGAACTGGCAATGACAGCATACTCCTGGCTGCCACACCCAACAGAAAAAGGAATTCTTTTACTGGGAGTCAGAACTCTCTGATACCACCTAGATCTTTCCTGAGCCCGCGACTAGTCAGCCTCAATAATATTAAAGGCATGCTGCAAAATACTTGCTTTGAAATTTAGAAACAAATTTTATTTAAGATCTGAAATACAATTCCTAAAATATCAACTTCTCCAGAAAACCGTGGCTACACAATAATGCATTGCCTCTATCATGTTAGAACGTGCATTAGACTCAAATACAAAAACCATGAAACAAATCACCATCCTTCAACAATTTGAGCAAAGATAGAATGCCTAAGGAACAACATAGATGGACTTGCAGAGGATGGGCTGTTTTACTTCAAGCACCATAAAAAAAAGAGCACAAATGCATGGGTTTTCAGGTATATACATTAAGTTGAACCTTTGGCACTAGGAATCAGGGCATTTTGTCACATAGCATTAACACATATTAGAAAATTGTGTAGTGTCAAAGGGATAGAACCACCAGCATTCAAGCAATGTTGTCAACTAGGCAATAAAATGTTCTACTGAATGTTTCTTCTTCGTCTAATTACTGCGTACACTGGTAGCAACTTTGAAATGAGAAAAGGAGCTTGTACTCCTTTCATTTTCTGTTTAAAAACACAACAGAAAACAAACTGAAACATAAGCCCTGTTATACATTAACAATTTTAAAGAACATCAATTATACAAGAAAAAGACTAAGAACGAAAAGAGTGTTTACAGATACCAGACATAACAGTGAGTGGTCAGTAGACCCTCACAGGGCTTTGCGGTGGTACTCAGCCGAAGCCACTTTATAATCACTGGCAGTAAACAGAGATGTAGCATTCTTTGCCAGATATTTTAGGAAATCATGCAAATAGCCCAACAATAATGCAAGGCTCTTCTCATCAAGGGGTGTATACGCCAACATTGCTCCAATTCTTACAAATAATCTCAGTAGGTGTGGGGCTCCATAAACCTGGGACATTGGTGCATCAGGGTGAGCCAAGAGAATTTCAGCATACTGGGGCCTCTCAAATTTGTAGAGCAGCTGAGTGCCCAACATCACATTGAAATATTCTTTTATTCCTGCCACAACTTCATTAACTGCATACTCCTTATTATCAACATTTCCCTGCGACTTCTTACAATTTGCATACTCTTCCAGAATAGCATCTACATTTTTCTTAGCAGGGAGTTGAAACAGCTGCTTCTGCCTGGTAACTAAGTCCCAGTCCTCAACAAGCCATGGTTTTAATTCTTCAGGAATCTTCACTTTAACTTCCATTCTATTCTTAAATGCCTCCTCACTTTCAACAGTGGGGTCTGCCCGGGCCCTTTTCTTCCGAGGTGGCTGGGGTGCTTCACTGGTACTGCCACCATCACCGTTTCCAGGTGTCTTCTGTTTGTTCTTTCTGGTCTTCCTCACTGATCCTGAAGGGGGGTTCTCTGCAGAGCGACCCCCCCATCTGCTTGGGAGAGCTGGTTCCAGATTCTTCTGCTGTGGACCAGCAGTCTTCTTTCCTGAGGAGGCCCCTCTCATCTTACTTCTCTGCATATTGCTTCTAGTTGGTTTTTTGAAGTTGTCTTCTTCTGCAGATTGTTGTCCACGAGTTTGAGAACCCTGCTTTCTGGAACTCATTCAACCCTGTTTTTATTCCAACCACTGTAATATATAAAATATTTTACTTCATTGTTTTCTATCGTGACCTTTAGCACATACTACTTCATAAAGGCCTACCATAGTAAAACACAAGCTATTTTCTTGGAATTTAGATTTTAAATCCTAGTTCAGGATCATTTGTAAGTGACTGACTTACTACTTCCACCCTCTTTTTGATTTTCACTACCAACCACTACTCACCCCATCCAATTGCTCATCAGACTTGCCCATAAGTTAGTTTTTGGGTGCCACTCCAAAGACAGGAATATAATTTTAGAAAAAAAATAAATTAAATGGAAAAGAAACTACAAAAGGCAGTGGAATTGAAATTAAAAACTTTGTCTGAAAATATAAATAAATAAATAAAAAACCTCTGTCTGAACAGGAGAAATGACAAGATAAAAGAAGAAAGAAAGATTAGTTGACTGGAGGCAAAATGAGTAACAGTAAATGTTTTTGTAGGAGTCCAAGTAATCCTGAACTAGGGTGATGACGGAGTCAAGGGAAACTGAATACAGAAATTGGTAAATGAAGAAGAGGGAGGAGTCAAAGGTGGCTCTGTACAAATGCATCTATTCAATTAGTTATCATACATAATTGCCTATCTGCTTTGGGACAGATATTATGCTAGGTCCTAGGGTTTAAATCTAAGGTGACAAAAAAATGAGGTTAGTACAATGACGGTTATAGGCACAGAGTATTTTGGAGCAAACAAGAAATGGCACATGACACCAGTGTCAGTATTAGCTTGTTGGAGAAGGTGATAAATCAGAGAGAAGTCAGTGATGACTCCCAGGTTTTGAGAATGGGTGATTAGGTCATTAGTACTATCACCAAATAAGACTGCATCTAGAGGAGGAGGAAGTGGATTAGAGAGGAAAGAACTTCAGTATTGGATCTACTACGTGTGAGATGTACAGTTAGATATTTAACTTTAAAGCTCAGGTGAAGGTAAGAGCCTGAAATGGAGATCTGAGGGTAATCATCACACAGCTACTACTGGAAGCTAGGAAAGCCATCAAAATCATTCATGGACAGAAGAGGAAGAAAAACTGAACCAAAGTATGAAATTCTGGAAAAACCTAAAAGAATGGTATTTAAGGGATTAGCAGAGAGACCAAAAACAAAACAAAAATGGTCAGAGCAGCCATAGAAAAATTAGGAGAATGTTATTTTGGAAGCCAAAGAAGTCAAAGAGTTTTAAGAAAGGAAAGGGATAATGTACAGTATAAAATGCAGCAGAGGGAACTAGTAAGATAAAGATGAAAAATAGGGGGCTATGATTCTTTTTTTTTAATAAATTTTTTATTTATTTATGATAGTCACAGAGAGAGAGAGAGAGGCAGAGACACAGGCAGAGGGAGAAGCAGGCTCCATGCACCGGGAGCCCGATGTGGGATTCGATCCTGGATCTCCAGGATCGCGCCCTGGGCCAAAGGCAGGCGCCAAACCGCCGCGCCATCCAGGGATCCCGGGGGCTGATTCTTATAGTGTGACACAGGAAGCATTTTTTTTTGACTTACATAATCCTCTTCCTTCTTTCCCTTCCAAGTACTCCTAGTGTTTTCCCAGATGGAACCTCCCAAATCTCCTGGGATGGTCTGCAAGGATGAGGTGGAAGACACAACCTAGAAAGGAAAACAGGTTATCTGCAATGAAGATAAACTTTAATTCAGAAAAAAAAATTTTAAAAATCTAATTTTTTGACCATGTGGTTTGCAACTGTAATATCAGAGAAAATATGTAAGTTCCACTGTTAGACCTACTTCATTTAGGCTCTGCCTTTTAAAAGTTGTGAGGACTTGGGCAAAATATGTATGCTCTCTTAGTCTCTTTTTTTCATCTATGGAATGAGGGAAACTACCCTTAGATTTCACAGGTTCTTAAGAACTTCATAAATATGATTTGGCTAAATAGCTAGCAAAGTATCTCTTTTTAAAGTTTACTATCTTTTAACATTTATTTATTTTTTAAAGATTTTATTTATTTATTCATGAGAGACACACAGAGAGAGAGGCAGAGAGAGACACAGGCAGAGGGAGAAGCAGGCTCAATGCAGGGAGCCCGATGTGGGACTTGATCCCGGAACTCTAGGATCATGCCCTGGGCCGAAGGCAGGTGCTCAACCACTGAGCCACCCAGGGATCCCGCTAGCAAAGTATCTTATAGGAATACATGTGAATATGGATATAAAGATGTTCACTGCAGTGGTGTTTTTAATACTGAAGAACTGGAAACACAAATATTCTTCAATAGGAAAGTGGTAATATAAATTATGTATGCAAACTATGGAAGAACATTCAAATGAATTAAGCAGAGAACCACGTATGAACATGGATAGATGCTCAATTCTACATCATTGGGTAAATAGGCATAATGCATAATATGTACAATATGATCTCAAAAAGACAGCACAGGTCGGGAAGTTACAATCAGTCTCATATAATTCTTATGTAGTGTGTGATCAAATTCCTGTTTTAAACTGTTATGTACAAATGCATAAGTACCTAGGTGAATAAATACCAGACTGTTAAAATCGGCATAACCTCTGGTAAGAAATGAGGGATGATGGTGGATCAGCCTTAAACCAGGTTTCTTTGGTTAACTGTGGACTTTCACCCACAGAAAAAGCCCCTCAGCCAATCCCTACCCTTAAAATGATGTGAGCAGGTGTCAGGAAAGCCCTGTCGGGGGAAATAGAGGTAAGAAATGCTAGTCAACTAGAACCTAGAATCAGGGAAACCAGTTATTAGAAAGAGGCCCGAGTGCTAGGGCTTTCATGAAGCAAACGATATCCTCTAAGTAAAAGTACCCAAAGAGTAGAAAATAAAGGGCAAAGGTGGTCCTCAGAGAGCATCAAAATCTGTGAATACGGATACAGAACCTGTGGGAATCAGAAACCTGCCTGAGAGGGATATACAGACACATCCTGTGAACGGTCAGTGACCAGTGTGTCATGGCATTACACTATAAGCTATCAAGCATACAAAAATATTTCTAAACAAACATTCATTGTGACCAGGACAGGGGACACAGTATCTGAGGGTATCAGAGTTTTCAGTTAAATACAGAAAACCTACCTCAGAGCTAATATAGTGTAAAGTTTCCACAAAACAAAGGGGATAGTTAAAATATCAACTAAAGAAAGCAAGATGGCTCAGTGCCAGCCAGTGTAAAACAGAAGGCCAGGTTGGACAGGAAGATTTTTGGAAAGTCTCACGGTCATCAGCAATTCCTTACTGAGGAACTTGAAAATGATAGCTGAATCTACTGTACATCGTTGGCACTAATTACATATATTCATTCATAGGAAAACTACGAAAAACAAATCCTACCCGGTTCTAATTAACTGGGTGAATTCTGTTACTCTCTACAAATTCTACTATCACTCATGAAGTCTCAATGAAATGTCTGACATTATATAGAGAAGTACCTGTACCACAAGTCAACGTTTGCGACAGTGAATAAAGCCACAAAAATAGGGGATCCCTGGGTGGCTAAGTGGCCTGCCTTTGGCCCACAGCATGATCCTGGAGTCCTGGGATTGAATCTCGCATTGGGCTCCCTGCATGGATCCTGCTTCTCCCTCTGCCTGTGTCTCTGCCTTCTCATGAATAAATAAATAAAATCTTTAAAAAAGCCACAAAAATAGCCTTTAGAGAAATTCTCAGTACTTTTAAGATTTATTTACTCGAGAGAGAGAGAGAGAGAGAGAGAGAGAGAGAGAGAGAGAGAGGCAGGCAGAGAGAAGCAGGCTCCACTCAGGGAGCCCGATGTGGGACTCAATCTCAGAATCCTGGGATCACGCAGAGCCAAAGGCAGACGCTCAACCACTTGAGCCACCCAGGCATCCCAGTACTTTTATTTTTATTAAGTATCCTACAGACCAAACAAGCAACTATTCCTACTTGAAAGTCAGAAATCAGACATCAAAAGAAGGGAATACCTGCCTTTTTCTGTCTGCCTGTCTGTCTGTCGCCGAAACACAACGTGTCAGCAATACCTGCCTTTTTGATGTCTGGCTCCACTTTTAATACAAGTTTCTGGACAGCTTTGCACTTTGTACCTCCCTTCCCAGCTTAACACTGCTTCCATGGTCAATGACAGATGTGCTGTGCACATTCATTTAAAAAGTTTACACTACAGATTAATTTTGGGCCACTTTAAATTTTGTGTTTGCTAGCTTGTCTTGAGTTTCAGGCTTTACTAATGTTGTTTACTGGCTTAGTATACCTACTCTTTGCTCCCATCATGCTCTCCCTTGTCTCCTTCATCTAAATACCACACAAGTCCTATTTCCTTCCTAACTCTCCAACACTAGTCCACATTTCTCTTCCATCTCCAATACCGTATGAAGCTAACATTAGTACTCCAAAGTTTATTATTTAAACATCTTGTTAGTTTTGGTTACAGAACTACACCGTTAATCTACTTGCCACAGGTCTTGTTATTTGTACTGTATATATTTCAGAGCAACACTTACGTGAATCCAAGCGAGGAAGAAATTCAACACATCAAGAAAATGGAGGCACAAATTAGGGACGGGTCATCAAGTATTTTTCCACTTGTTTTCTATAGGTCAGCTCTAAGATAGGCCAGACATTGAGAAAACACATTTGTGGGTTTGGCCTAGTTCTTTTTACTTTCTGTGTAAATTCTCATTTAAACAGAGGTGAGCTTATATTGGACATCACATCTAATCCTCCCTTAAAAAAAAATCGATATCACCACTGGTTATTTTCCCCATGTAACATAATATATGTAAATCTGGAGAGCTGTTTATCATCAAATGGTCATACCTTAATCTAACCCTTGTGGAAAGTGATTCCCCTTCAATTTACCCTGTAATAACTACTACATTTCTGTCCTATTTCCTATTAATATTTACAGATGCAGATTTAGTGGGTCAAGAGGTAATAACATGTTGCCAAATTACTTCCCCCATGCTGTACTAATTTCTAACCTTACAAGTAGTGTGTAAAACTATCACTTATACTCTGGTGAGCAATGGCTAGGCTCATTTACAAAGTTTGATAAAATGTTTACTGTTTCCATTTACTAGAGATGCTTTAACATTTAAAAAGCATCTATTGGGTATATAGGCTTTTGTCCTGTGCCCATTCAATTGGGTTTTAGTGACTGTAACATCTATAGGATCTTTTTATATATCAAGAGTTGTCAGTCTGGGACAATTATTTCCCCTAATCTTCTTTTACAAAGCTTGATGTTAAGATTTTAAAGTTTTATATAATGAAATATTAGTTTTTCCTTCCACTGTTAAATGATGTCATACTCATGGAGGTTTTAGATTTTAATTTCTTAATTATCCAGAATTTATTTTGTAAATTATGAACTGAAAATCTGTATTTTGCCCAAGTAGTTAATTTTGTAGGTAATCTTTCTTTTACATATGTATATATAAATTCCAAAATACATAAAGATGGAGGAATTCTCCCTTTACCCACCCCCATCCCAGAATGAGTGTGTAGGCTTTCAGATCTTATGTACATACTCAAACGAATACGTATCTTTAAAACTAAATGTGTATTTTATATTTGATTTGGCAAAGATGAGACATATTGCCCCATACCTTTTATCACTGTGGGCATCATTCTGTCCACACACACCTAGCTCATTCTTTTTAATATCCACATCACTCTATCTTGATGTGCCAGAATTTAACCAGTCCCTTATTAATCAACATTAAGTTTCCAATACTTCATTATTATAGAAATGCTATAATAGACCTAAGTGTACAGATATATTAGAACATTAGGAATTTCAGAATTACTCTCAGAAGAACTGTTTAAACTTTGAGAAGATAAAGGCAAATTTAATTTGCAAAGAACCCCTCTAATTTGTACTCCCAGCAAAAACATTAAAGTTCATTCACCTATACCTTCAACAACATGGGATAAACATCTTTTGGAAACTTTTTTTTTGCTTATAGTATGTAGTAATATCATGGAGTATCTTTCATATTTTCATGTGTATCTTTTTCTTATGTGAATGTTTTTGTTCTCTTTCAGTTAGGTTATTTGCTTCCTTTATTGATTTCTAACAATCAAATCCTAAGTTTTCTTGGGTATGTTGGAAATATTTTTTCCAAACTCCTTTTCCTTCTCTGGGTCTGTCTGTGTGTGCATGTACGTATCACACAGACAAATATGTCAACATTCTCCTTTGTGACCTTTGGCATTTAGGTCACATCTAGGGAAAACGTTCTCAAATCAATATTCAAAGCATGATTTCTTATATTTCTTGGTATGTCTATATTATTCCAAATACATAACTTTTCCTATTATCAATTATTGAAGAGGTCATCCTTTCCTCACTGATTCGAAATTCTATCATAGGACATTTTAAATTCCTAGATGTACATGCATCTTTTAAGGTACTCTTCCCAATGATTTCTGATATTCAATTTTTAAAGGTTATTACCATTTTTAGGTCACCTGTTCTGTCACAGTGATGTCTGTTCTCACACCAGTATTACATTGGTTTAATTATCATAAAGACACAGATGTTGCCCTAGAATATTCTAATACTTGTAAATGGTTTCCAAGGATGTTTGAGGAGTTATTTGTAATAGCAAAACACTAGAGTAAACCTGGAGGACTATCACTAGTGATTTAGAAAGATAAAAGGTATTTTTTTCCTTAAATGGATTATCATGCTGGTTAAAAGAATACCACTGTTGAAAGGAATCAAATAGAACTCCATGAATGGCCATGAAGACATCCAAGATAATCTACTGAATAAAAATAGCAAGTTGCAAAATAATACAGTGTGATACCATATTTATGTAAAAGAAAACACAAAACAGTATTTTATATATATATATATATATATATATATGTTTTTAAACAGGTACATAATTTAGAGATCTCAAAGGGAATAAAACTAATAGCAGCTAACTCTGGAGAGTAAGAGAATTGGAAGTGAAGAAATGGAAACCCGAGCCTATTCTGTATTACTTAAACTTTTTCATTATGAAGATAATATATTCACATATTACATGACTAAAAACCTGTATTAAAATATATGTATTTAAAATTCAATGATTTTGATTTTTATCCTTAGATCCCACACAGCTGGACTTTTCAGTAAAGTATCACTGTGTATCATACATTTTGTAGGCATACCATTCAGACAGGTTCCCCCCCCTTCTAGATTCTGCCCATTCTTGGGAGGCACAGGTCAAGGTCCTTTTCCTCTCTGAGGCTTTTTCCATTTCAGGATACCCTGGACCTTGCCTTCTCTAAGCTCATACCAGCTTAACAGCCCACCTCCCTGCCTTTTGCCCTTAATCATTCTCCAAATGGCCTCCTGTAAAGGGGTTTTGTGCCTACCCATCTACTCCATCTTTTCCACCATGACAGCGCCCTCCTCTGCAACCCAATTTTCAGAAGGGGCAAAAAAAAGTTACAAGGAAAATATAGTGACTCCATGGGAAAATGAAGCTCTCAAATAACTGAAAAAAACCTTCCTTCATCTCATGCAAGTGATGGGCCATTTAGGAATGCAGACTCCTAAGGCTAACATTTTGGTATGGGTGTATCACAATGAATGTGAACAATATCTCCTATGGTTTGTTGGAATAAACCTTCTAATATACATATACCATGCCAGTTACATTTATTACCCATTCTCCTCTGAATCTTGGAACACTTCCTTTCTGTTTAACATATTTTTTGAGTCTGAGACGAAGGAGGAATGACACAAAAGCTGTTAACACACTGAATATAGTTATTATTTCCTAGTTAAAATTATAGGTCCTGGAAATTCCCTTATAATAAATATGATCAATAAACTCAAAATCTTTCTAGATTGTTAAGACAAACCAGAAGTCGTAATTTCAGAATTCAGTTCTAGTGGTAACTGCTGCTTCTGGAAAAATCAGGAAAGAAACCAACAGTATTAATTTTTTTACATTTCTAAACAGAAGAATCCACTGCTTTTAGAAGTTTAGAGTATATGTGTGTGTAAACCAGGATGTACCAGAATGACTAACAGAACCATAATTATTATTAAAGCAAACACTTATATATGCCAAGCACTGTCCTGGTACTTTACACAAAATCTCTTCAAAAATCCTACGAACTAGAACTATTATCATTTCTATTTTACACATTAGGTAATTTATCAACAAAGGGAGTTAAGTATCTTGCCCAGGATCACATAAGTGGTAGAGATAGAATCCAAATTAAGAAGTCAGTATTTGCTCTCAACCATTAAATTATGTTGTACATGAGATGCCATAAAAATTTCAAATATTCAAATTCCATATGTATATATATGAAACTAACTATAGGGTATCAAGTAGAATATCTTTTATCAAAGAATGTAAGATCATACAGTCCTCTGTTGTTTGGGTCCTTGCTATACTGGAATCACCAGTGGACTTAGCTTCACCTTTCCCTTCTTAGAATTTAGAGTGCTTTCCCAGATAGGGGCTTATTAATCTTCAAAATATTCCTGGACAGTTAGGAAGGTTATGTGGAATTATCTTGTTTGAAAATTGAGACCAGGAGAAGGGAGGCACTTACTCAGATTCTGTAATCAGGGATGGTTCTGCAATCAGGATCAGATCTTCTGATCCTTATTATACAGCAAACTTAGCTTTTCTGATGTTGGCCTGGAAGGTCAAAGAAGGGGACAGAAAAGGACATAAAGTAAAAAGATATGAGATCCCTTTTTTCTCCATCAACCAATGCATTTTATCACACACAAAGGACACCACTGCTGATTAATAACGTACAAATGTCTTTTTCCTTTTTTGTGGTTATATTTTCAAATTTATTGTACACTTATCCTTATTTTTGATAAAGTAACTGTATTTTTATACTTTTTATTAAGGATAATTTCAAATGAATAAAAATGTAGAAGGAAGAGTATTATAAACCTATACCAATCACCCAGCTTCAACAATTACCAACTGAAGGCCATCTTGTTTTATCTATAACCCCACCCACTGCTCCCCCTACTCCGATTTTTTTAAGCTCACTGGATAGGTGATTTTCTGTATTTTATTACAGAAAATGTTAAACACATACCAAGGATGATGGAATAATAAAAGGAACCTCATATGCCCCATCACTTAGCTCAAACAATTATTAACTTAGGGCCAGTTTTGTTTCATCTATACCCTTCCCCACTTCCCTCTACCGCTGAGATTATCTTGAAGCAAATCCCAGTCATCAACGTATTTGAAGTCATTCTCCGACATTTTATTACTTAATCCACAAATATTTTCCTATATACCTCTACAAAATAAAGATAATTTGAAAACACAACCATTAATGCCATTATAACGTCTAAAAAATTGACTTCAATTCCTTAAAAAAAAAACCCATCAAATCCATTTTCAAATTTTCCCGATGCATCTTAAAGTGTTTTTAAGTTGGTGTGTTCAAATCAGGATCCAAACAAGGCCTACTCATCGCATGTGGTTCATCTCCTCATCGCTCTCGTTCTCCATCTCCCCCACCCCCCGCCTTTTAAACTTTTCAGTATGGAAAATTCCAATCCCCGCTATTTTGAGCTAATTCTCAAATAGTAAATTATTTCATCGGCAAAGATTGATAGGTCTCTTTTAAAGCTCAAATTTCTTATAAGAAAGAATCTGATGAGCAGAAAAAGCACTGTAATGAACAAATTTACATAATTTGTTTTTTTCTTATTCTATTACGCGGGTTTTTCACTCCACAATAATAGCGAATATCTTTCAGAACCAGGATTGGTATTAAGCGTCTTATACGCACTAATACACAGTACAAGCCTCTGAGGTACACGTCTCTGAGGTAGATACTATCACTATCACCATTTTACAAACATGGAAACCGAGACCCTGAAAGAACAGGAGCCAGCCCAAGCTGGGCGTTGGCGAGTAGGAATTTGAAAGCAGCTCTGCCCAACTGTGAAGGCACTACTTAATCTTGTCAATATATGCGACGATAGAAAGAAACCATCAACCCTTTCACCCCACCCCCACCCCGAAACCTGAAACGAGAATCCAGTTCTTTCCAGCAGCCGACGTGTGATCACTGCCGTCCCTCCAACCGCCATAGTAAAGCCAGGTTTCTCTGGCAACTGATATCCATAGGCAGACACGTCACCCTGGAGGCGGGCTTATGGTCTCCAGCCAATGATAATCGTCTTGCCTAAGTTTTAGAATGTTCCATAACCAAATGATTGGACGAAGCCTAACACGTCAGCGATGACAATTCACCGCAGTAAAGGCGGGTGCTAGCAACCTGCTTCTTCACGGTTAAGGCTTGAAGCAAACCAATCATCTTTCTGCTTTAGTGAAGGCTCTGGCCAATGACGCTCGCCCTCTTAGGTTCTTAGCCCGCCCTTCAAAAGCGCGACTGCCGTTGGGTCATAAGTCTATAGGGCAGGGTGTTCACGTGGCCTATTTTCACGACCCAGAGTTCCCCTGGCCAGAGGTTTTTTTTTTTTTCCCCCTGCAGGGAGGCATTATGGGTTTTTTTTTTTCCACTGGGAAAGGAAGTGCCTACGTGGCCTGCGGAAACAGGATGGGCGGAAATGAGCTAAGGTTCCCGCGAGTGGGGAAGCGCGAGGTCAAATTTGGGGCCACGCCCCCAACCTCTTGCGCAACTATCGGAGTGAAAAAGAAAACAGAGCGGGTGTTTTAATATGTGTACAAGCTGGGGTGGTGGGTGTGTGTGGGCGTGGTGTTGGGGCCTGTGTGTGCGCGGGCGAGCTCCCGTGGCCTTGAGATTGGGATGTGCGCGCGGCAGCCCTCGTGGCGTTGGAGGTGGTGTGTGTGCGCAGGCGTGCGCCCCTAGCGTTGAGAGCGTTGGGGTCGGTGTGTGTCCTGGAACCCGGGCGTGCGTGTATGCGCGCGCACAGGTGTCTGTGCATGTGCATGTGTGCGTGCACGCGCGCTGTGTACGGAATATTCTCTACTTTTCTCTAAGTTTGAAAATTGTTCTAATGAAAAAGAAAATAAGTCAAGGCGACCATAACCAATAAAGAGCATTTGCCAGGAATATTTTTACCTCTCCTAGCGATTTAATTTCAGACTGTAAAAATACACTTGCTTCCCACGTTTTTTCTCTTGCCAAAATCCTGTTTTAAACCATAGCCGTCCAATAGGTAAGAGCCAAACGTTCCCATCTTAGCAATTCCAAAGAGCAGCTTTTTTTTCAGTTCCCTAGTATCCTCTCTCTCCCCCCTCCAACGTTGCCTGCCATTCTGTTGGCACAAACACATTTTTCTGCCTCAAATATCTGTATGTGATAACCTTCCCCTTCAGTTTCTCTCTCTCTCTATATATATATATATACACACACACACACACACACACATAGAGACTCAATTTCTGTAGAAGCTGAGGCTCTCTTACCTTTTTGTTCTGATCTCCAAGCACAGTGCCCTTCAGGCAAGTAGCACTCAGCTAGTTTTCCAGAAAGTTCTCTGGGTGAGGTTTATACCTCCTGAATCTGCCACTAGATGCCACCAAATCCCAGCAAAGGATTGGCTGTTAGTCCCTGGAATCCTGGGATTTTTTCCCCCCTCTTTCTGATTTGTTGAATTCCACAATGTATAGAGGTCATGTATATCTTTCATTGCTAAGGAAAAATCAAATTAACTTTTGTAATTAGCCCAACCAGGCAGAGAACTATAGCTCTAGATTCATATGTTTTTCCTTATTTCTACTTTAAAAAAATTCTCCTCTCCAGCCCTCTTTCCTTTCTTCCTTGCCTTTTTGTGGGGTCAGAATTGATCAATGACCCCAGGCACTGATGTTGATGAAGATCTGAATCTTTTCTGTGCATCTTTTCCAATGCTAACAACACTCCCCAGTGGAAAATATAGGTGGATATTTAGTCAATAATAAGAACTTGGACCCCGATATTGAAAACTGATCTTTTTCTCTTCAAATTTTTATTAAATAAGTGTGTTTGTACCCTATTTTTTGTAGTGGTACTGCTACACTTTATTATGTCTTTGGAGTTAGAGACTTAATTTTAATTCCCGGCTTACTAGCTGTGAGACCTTGAGTAGACGATTTATGTTCACTGATACTCAGGTTTTTGCATGCTTTCTATATTTTAGATCCTGTGTCATATCCTTTACATGGATATTCTTTTATTCTTCACAAATTCCTTATTAGATGGGTGAATAAATAAACTTCAAAAAACCAAAAATTAATATTTTTAAATTATCAATCATATACACTTGTGTGCATGCATGCATGTGCACACGCACACACAGAGGGGTGAGGGCCGAGATTTGTTTTTATTTTCTATTTTTCTTTTTATTTATTTATTTATTATTGGAGTTCAGTTTGCCAACATACAGCACAACACCCAGTGCTCATCCCATCAAGTGCCCCCCTCAGTGCCCGTCACCCAGTCACCCCCAGCCCCCGCCCACCTCCCTTTCTACCACCCCTTGTTCATTTCCCAGAGTTAGGGGTCTCTCATGTTCTGTCTCCCTTTCTGATATTTCCCACTCATTTTTTCTCCTTTCCCCTTTATACCCTTTCACTATTTTTTATATTCCCCAAATGAATGAGACCATATAGTGTTTGTCCTTCTCCAATTGACTTATTTCACTCAGCATAATACCCTCCAGTTCCATCCACGTCGAAGCAAATGGTGGGTATTTGTCGTTTCTAATGGCTGAGTAATATTCCATTGTATACATAAACCATATCTTCTTTATCCATTCATCTTTCAATGGACACCGAGGCTCCTTCCACTGTTTGACTATTGTGGACATTGCTGCTAGAAACATCGGGGTGCAGGTGTCCCGGTGTTTCACTGCATCTGTATCTTTGGGGGTAAATCCCCAGCAGTGCAATTGCTGGGTCATAGGGCAGGTCTATTTTTAACTCTTTGAGGAACCTCCACACAGATTTCCAGAGTGGCTGAACCAGTTCACATTCCCACCAACAGTGCAAGAGGGTTCCCCTTTCTTCACATCCTCTATATTTGTTGTTTCCTGCCTTGTTAATTTTCCCCATTCTCACTGGTGTGAGGTGGTATCTCATTGTGGTTTTGATTTGTATTTCCCTGATGGCAAGTGATGCAGAGCATTTTCTCATGTGCATGTTGGCCATGTCTATGTCTTCCTCTGTGAGATTTCTCTTCATGTCTTTTGCCCATTTCAGGATTGGATTGTTTGTTTCTTTGCTGTTGAGTTTAATAAGTTCTTTATAGATCTTGGAAACTAGCCCTTTATCTGATACGTCATTTGCAAATATCTTCTCCCATTCTGTCGGTTGTCTTTTAGTTTTGTGGACTGTTCTTTTGCTGTGCAAAAGCTTCTTATCTTGATGAAGTCCCAATAGTTCATTTTTGCTTTTGTTTCTCTTGCCTTCATGGATGTGTCTTGCAAGAAGTTGCTGTGGCCAAGTTCAAAATGGGTGTTGCCTGTGTTCTCCTCTAGGATTTTGATGGAATCTTGTCTCACATTTAGATCTTTCATCCATTTTGAGTTTATCTTTGTGTATGGTGCAAGAGAGTGGTCTAGTTTCATTCTTCTGCATGTGGATCTCCAATTTTCCCAGCACCATTTATTGAAGAGACTGTCTTTCTTCCAATGGATAGTCTTTCCTCCTTTATCGAATATTAGTTAACCATAAAGTTCAGGGTCCACTTCTGGGTTCTCTATTTTGTTCCATTGATCATCTATGTGTCTGTTTTTGTGCCAGTACCACCCTGTCTTGATGACCACAGCTTTGTAGTACAACCTGAAATCTGGCAGTGTGATGCCCCCAGATATGGTTTTCTTTTTTAAAATTCCCCTGGCTATTCGGGGTCTTTTCTGATTCCACACAAATCTTAAGATGATTTGTTCCAACTCTCTGAAGAAAGTCCATGGTATTTTGATAGGGATTGCATTAAATGTGTAAATTGCCCTAGGTAGCATGGACATTTTCACAATATTAATTCTTCCAATCCATGACCATGGAATATTTTTCCATCTCTTTGTGTCTTCCTCAATTTCTTTCAGAAGTGTTCTGTAGTTTTTAGGGTATAGATCCTTCACCTCTTTGGTTAGGTTTATTCCTAGGCATCTTATGCTTTGGGGTGCAATTGTAAATGGGATTGACTCCTTAATTTCTCTTTCTTCAGTCTCATTGTTAGTGTACAAAAATGACACTGACTTCTGGGCATTGATTTTGTATCCTGCCACACTGCCAAATTGCTGTATGAGTTCTAGCAATCTTGGGATGGAGTCTTTTGGGTCTTCTATGTATAGTATCATGTCATCTGTGAAGAGGGAGAGTTTGACTTCTTCTTTGCCAATTCGAATGCCTTTTATTTCTTTTTGTTGTCTGATTGCTGAGGCTAGGACTTCTAGTACTATGTTGAATAGCAGTGGTGAGAGTGGACATCCCTGTCTTGTTCCTGATCATAGGGGAAAGGCTCCCAGTGTTTCCCCATTAAGAATGATATTTGCTGTGGGCTTTTCCTAGATGGCTTTCAAGAGGGCCGAGATTTAGAGCTGTGGTTCTCAGACACACTGGTAGCATTATAATCACTTTTGGGGAAGTTGTCAGAAATTCAGATGTTCAGGCCCCACCTCAAACCTAATGAATCAGAAATCCTAGGGGTAGAGTTTGGTAATCCGTGTTACACTGTTCTTGTGATTCCAATGTATCCTGAAGTTAAAACTACTGCTTTGGAAGGGAGAAATGCGATGTTGATTTTTGTACACTCCACTAGAGGGTGCTGCAGAATGTAGAGCGAGGTAATGATAGCTATTGAGACACCCTGTATATTTTTTCAAAACTTTTTGTCCTTTTTTATTGAAGTATAGTATATTAGTTTCAGACATACAACACCCTGCATATTATCAGACACATTTTAAGATTTAAAACTAACATATAGGGATGTTCGATTGTTTTCTCAGTGTGCACAAGTATGGAAGTCAGGATTTGAACTTTACCTGCTTCTCCAGCCCAGGCCCTTGTCAGTTCCTGTTGATCAGCTAGAATATCTTGTCTTTCTGGGTCTCAAAATACGTTACAGATTCCTTGTTTGCTACTTTGAATAACATTGACTAGAGTACCAAGAAGACGGCAGGAAAGCAAACCAAATAAGTGGAAATATCTTGATTTCATACCC